GGGTGGATCTGAGCATCTAGCAAGTGACAAAAAGCACACCACACCCCACACCACCCACACTCACATCCACACCACCCACACTCACACCCACAGCACCCACACTCACACCCACACCACCCACACTCACACCCACACCACCCACACCCACACCCACACACACACCCACACCCACACCCACACTCCACACCCACACCCACACCCACACTCCACACCCACACCCACACCCATACCCACCCCACACCCACGAAGACTTTTGACTTTTATCGCACACCACACTGTTTTAATCTTAAAAGAAGACTAATTAAATCCGTATTTTATATTTATTTTAACGTGGCTCGATAGAATAAAATTTAAAATTTGCGCTTGTCACTATGACTTTGTCAACAATAGACTTAAGATGCTGTCTGATAAAAAAAGTATCTATTAAACTGTATTGATCATATAGACTATGAAATCTTTTTCGCTTTCTTCAAACCTGTAGTCATTACAGTTTCCAATATGCCAAGAACGATCAGACTTACATTAGAGAGCACTATTTATGCCTCTATAACAGCAAGAAGAATTGAACATTTTACAATAACAGTGAAAAATGAATTCCGTAAAGTTTCTCCTATCCAAAGAAACTGAGATTATGATACAGAAAAACTTCATTTGTTTTCATAAGACGAGGAAATTTTAATGTTGCATGGCAGCCAAAAGTCATCATTTTAAGATTCTATTGTACAGGCTGTTATGAAACCATTATGATCCCCTCTACAACATAAAGTATAAATGATATCATAAACCATTTTGTATCAAGTTAGTGCTCACCAAAATCTGGGCTTATGAATGTAATTAGAGCAATAATTGCATATGAAATTATTGACATTACTTGAATTACATGTCAAAAGAAACTTGTACTTTATGATTTTCATTCTTCGTGTAGATATTTTGAAAAAAAATTATGGCAGATTTGTGATCTCCATGAAAAAGAAGATCTACAGACATATCATTTTGTATATTTTTGACGAAAAAAAAGTTTCGAATAAATCATGCGACATACCGCAGACAAAAGGTTTTTTGAACTGAAATATCTCGATTTATATATCAGTGAACGCACTGCTTGACGAAGATCACTAAGTTGAAAGTATTTCTGTTGGTGAATGTAATAAAAAAGCAAAAATTGAAATATACGAGCATTCTGGAAAAAACCTATCCTTGGTTTAATAGTATTAGGCCTATTAAAGGACTACCATGGGATAACTTCCAGGATTTTTTTTCAAAAAGTTTTTTTTCGTCACAAATATACAAATGATATGCCTGTAGATTTTCTTTTTCATTCAGATCGCAGATCTGCCATAATTTTTTTTCAAAATACCTGCACGAAGAATGAAAATCGTAAAGTACGAGTTCCTTTTGACATGTAATTCAAGCAATTTCAATAATTTCATAGGCAATGATTGCTCTAATTACATTCATACATCCAGTCTTTGATGAGCATTAATTTGATACAAAATACTTTATGATATCATTTATATACTTTAAGTTGTAGAGGGGACCGTAATAGTTTTACAACACCCTGTAAATATGATTTGAAGACTAGCAATGTTGTACCTATCAGTACTCTCATCGTAGAAACTGAATTACTAACGAGAATTTTCTGACACATATCAGAGATGAGCGGCCGTAGTGGTGACGGTGCACCGTCAGAGTTCGCAGTTTTCTCGTGGATTGAAACTACTAAATTTTCTTCAGAGAGTACTGCCACATATCTCGAAATTTGGAGAATTGCTCACTTCCTGCGCGGATGAAACAGTATCCAAAACCTGAAAAATAGCAATTCTTAATATATCGAGGAATAATCAGTGTCGCTCTGGTAATTCCTCAGGAAAACTGAAATTGATTATTGCTTGTCTCAGAGTTAAACGATTCATGAAGGTCGCGGTAATGCTTTTTTAAAAGAATCCGTGCACGCAATTATTTCTTTCACAATTTTCCAGGTGAAAATGATTATCACAACAAAAAGTATCGTGAATATTCTGCACTTTTGGCTTTCTTATTCACTGAACCTGGAGAATTGATGAGAAATTAATGTTTCTCAATCCTCGGAAACCCTTCCCGCATTCACATCCAGATCTATGCTCCTTATTTATATGCACTGATATTAGTTTACGTCATATCACGAAATAGAAGAGTGTTTACGAGGGTTGAATACAAAATTATGGTCTCTAAAACTACGTTGTTGGCAGGAGATGCGCTACAAAGCCGCGCAATAGTGGGACTGATAAAAACCTAGTACACTGCGGCAGAGCACTTTTTAGCTGCTCCGCTCATCTCTACAACATATTACTGATTTCGCAAGGAAATATACATAAGATAGAAAATTCATATCATAAAAGTTAATCAAAAGCGTATATTCTCATCACCAATATATATGCTTTCCATTTGGACAATAAAATGGAAATATTATAATATATTTGCTGTTCAAAAAGCAATTAGCATACCAATAAGATTAACTGGCAGTTTATACAGCCATCTCGTCCGTTCACTTTGTATTTCGAATTAATTTATCAATGCGAAAATATACATAGACAATAATAGCAATTTTTTCATGATAAAATGTTGAAGACTGTTAATTTACCTCATCTGAAATCAGTTTCTCGTTATCTAGAAAATTTATGCTTCTCGTCACCTCTAGAGTGAAACCCTGAAAATATACAA